ACTTATTCAAATTAAGTTAAATATAATATATATTGGGGAACTTTAGCAAATAGCTCGGTTTGTGTTAATGGTTTCAGTTGGGCTTGGTTTAGTTATTAATCATACACAAAAATTTAAAAAACGATTCATTTTAAAGAGGGAAAATAGATAATAATTTATCCAAAACAAAAAATAGTTAAAACAACTAACATTATAGAAATTTCTAGTCTTTTAGTTAAAAAAAAATACCAAACTTTCAAACACTAAATTTATTGTGAATAAAGCTTCAAAATTTACTATTTTGGCCTATAAGAAAGAGACAGTAACATTTCTAGTCTGAATTGTGAGACACTCATATACATAAAAACTCAATAAATATCTTCGTCTTGAACGTTTTTATTTTCATAAATAAATTATAAATGATATATGTTCATAACATATATAAGATATTTCAAATTGTTTTTTAAATATAATAGCTCTAACTTAGGTTGTGACTTTTTCGACGACCTGTGACTTTTTCGACGAGTTGTGATTTTTTTCAAAGGATTGTGATTTTTCGGTGCGTTGTGACTTTTCCAAAAAGTTGTGACATTTTCAATAAGTTGAGACTTTTCCAAAGAATTGTGACTTTTTCAAAAAAGTTGTGTCTTTTTTCAAAGTGTTGTGATTTCTCGAAAAGGTCATGATTTTTCAGATAAGAAACAAAAAACATTTGTTCATACTATCTTTTGTTGATTATAAATAGAGGGACTTTCTCTCATTTTTCAACCATATTTTTTTCTAATCTTCTATTCCTCTTCTTCTTCTTGCATTTTAAAATTTTTTGTGTGATTTATTATCGTTGAGTGAGTTCGAAGTTTAGCAGAATATGAGGTACCACTATTCTGATGAAGTAAGTCGTTCCATCTTAGAAGGTATATTTCATAACATCGAGTACTTGAGGAAAATAATAAGTATAATTTTTATGAAATAATAATTATTTTTTTGCTTAATATATACATTAGTATGTAATGTTCCAATAAATGAAGTTAACATGTATTATGTAGTCTAAATTCATTTGTTTTTATTAACAATTTCTCTTGTGATGTAGATATATGCTTCTGAATATCTTTTTTCAAAATTTAGAGAATTGTCACGATTTGTTTTTGACGCTCACGACAAAAGAATTACTTTATTTATCAATGCTACTTATGTGATTTAGACTCTTAGAAAGTTTTCTTCAAAATAGTTATTACTATGTAAACATTGACCTTTTGTTTAACTTATTTACTATTTCTTAATATTTTTTGTATTTTAGACAAAGAAAAGTTCATATGACTTGTAATAACGCAAGTCTAAGTTTGTATTAGTTTAATTTTTATTATTTATTTAATAGCTAATTTTATGAGATAAATATTTTTATTAATGCAAATATATAATAATTAGTTCACATGCTTGCATACAGTCCCCTGGAAATTGTAAACACATACTTTACACCACTAATTAACTTTGTTTCTTCCCCGTGAAGCATTACTTATACAGCCTATTATTGGTTCACCTGATCATATACAGTCCCCTGGCTATTTTAAACACATACTTTACATATATATGTTACTTCTAACCTTAGTTTAGCCGCACTTTACATCTTAATGATACCCTCTTTTATGCATCAAATTCCTGCCTAATCATGCTGATCTTGACCATTTGTCGCCCTCATCAATGGTACTAATACACAATAACGCTTAGAATTAACAATTGCGACGTAGAATATGAAATGAGGTTAGACTTAGTAAAAAATCGATTCTACATTTACTAATTAGAAAACAAATTAACTTTAACTTTTAAATGACTCCCCTTTTTAAACAGATATTGCTTACGACTTGAAGTGTGTGGTGGAGAACAACGTGCCCGAGCTATACTATTTGAAGCGGCCAAATATTTACTAGGTTGTAGCGTGCAAGACTACATAGAATCGACCTCAGTAAAGATATGAATTGTATTTATACCTAAACACCTTAACACCCAATGGACTCCGCCGCATAGGGACGTTGTCTAATTCATCCTAACTTTTACAGTTATCTTATTGTGATACTTAATAGCACGAAAGAGAAGAAAAGAATTACCCTATTACATATACATAACAATTGATAATTTTGTTAATTTTATACATTAGGTTAGTTTTGAAAGAAAATGCACCCATCATGCTGCTGAGAAAATTGGACCCCTCAAATGGCTTATGCAATGGGACATGGTTGATTTGTAGAGGCTCTGACGAGAATGTAATACATGCAAAAAAAAACAACATGTCAATATGCTACAAGCCAAGTGTTTACTCTAACAATACAACTATCACTCCCTTCCCCCCGCTAAAATGAAGGATACCCTTTTAAATTTATTCGGAAACA